AGAATCGCTTTTGCAGCCATATTCCTTCTCTAGGGGACTCATAGAGGTGATGGGCCAAGTCTGTGTTTTGGATACCAAGCAGATTAAAGGGCTTCAGCCAGAAACAGGGAGAGACATGAGAGGGGAGGTCCTGGCAAGTCACTGTATACAGCAGAAATGACTGATGAGATCTGATTTTCTTTCCAGCAGCAGTACCTCCCACTTCTCCTCCTACACCTGGTCACTACCATGTCCTCTACCGAGGGTGTGGAGAAACCCAGGTGGGCTGGCATGGGGAGACATACTGCCTGGTTGGTGGTTACCGGACCTATGGGGATGCTCCTGTGGCCACCCCAGCAAAGGCGGAAGCAGAGAAACCAATTCCCAGCCGGGCTCCCAAGAGACATCAAGCTTTCGCAGAGTCGGATAAAGACCTAGGTTGCTCCAGCCCCAAAATTCGGCGATTGCAGCATGGTGGCAGGAGGCTGACCCCACAGAAGCTTGCTGGCTGAGCCACTCTACAGAGAAGGCAAACGTTTAACCGCCTAAGATAGCTAATGCCTCTTCCTGCACTGACCCCCTTTGCCCACCACTGGAGGTTAGAACCTGAGCCGTTCTGTCTGAGCCTTCGTCGGCCAGGAGCCTCCTTCCATACTAACTGGCCATGGGCAAGGAGCCTTAGAAACCGAGACTTGAAACGAAAGGCTGCTCTGAACATCCCAGGGTGGAAACTGGCCTGGAAGAAAACCTGATGTTTCTCTGCTCAATACTCTAGAGTCCCTTCTTGAGAAGAAGAAAGAAAAGTCTGACTCTTTGAGCCAAGGAGGATCCAGGAGCAGAGAGAGGGTTCATAGTAGTCTCAGCAGGGGCCCATCTATCAGATAGACTCCTGCCCCGAGTCATTGCCAGCAGCCATCAACACAAACCAAGAAGAGCTGGGCTTTTTGAAACTGAAAAAAGCAATTTGTGTCTACCCAGGGAGCCTCTTGTCTGGAGTGCCAGGAGGCAGAATAAAGAGACCCAGGAAGATCCGCTCCCCAGTGCAGGAAGAAAATGGAGAGAGTTGGGCGGCACCACCACTGAGGCTCACGTGCTCCTTCATTCCCATCCCTTTCTGGCCCCAGTGGGATTTCTTACTGTTCAATAAAATGATTTTGTCTAACATATTTGACTTGAAATCCAGCTTGTCCAAGGCCGGGCCCCAAACCTCCTTGTTCCCTGAAAGTACATTACCACATGGGGAACCTGGTGCTCTGAGACCTGCCTCCAAAAAAGACCCCTGAGTGCAGCTTCTAACTGTGTGGCTCTCACAGTGACACCTGTACAAATCGGGGCAGGACCCGGGCAGGTTCTTTAAGAAATGCAGAGCCTGGGGCGCCTGGGTGGCTCAGTTGGTTAAGCGACTGCCTTCGGCTCAGGTCATGATCCCGGAGTCCTGGGATCGAGTCCCGCGTCGGGCTCCCTGCTCAGCGGGGGGTCTGCTTCTCCCTCTGACCCTCTTCCCTCTCGTGCTCTGTCTCTCATTCTCTCTCTCGCAAATAAATAAAATCTTAAAAAAAAAATAAAAGAAATGCAGAGCCTGATGAGAACTTCCCTCTGTGTGTGCACATGTGCGTGCATGTGTGTGTGTGTGTGTGTGTGTCTAAGATGAGAGGCAGGCCTGAGAAGACATTCTGTCAATCCACCCATCTCTATCCATTTACTCCACAAAATTTTTTTAAGGATTTTATTTATTTGACAGCGAGAGAGGGAACACAAGCAGGGGCAGTGGGAGAGGGAGAAGCAGGCTTCCTGCCCCACCCAGCAGGGAGCCTGATGCGGGGCTCGATCCCAGGACCCTGGGATCAGGACCTGAGCCGAAGGCAGACGCTTAATGACTGAGACACCCAGGTGCCCCTACTCCATAAATATTTATTGAGCACCTGCTGGTTGCTTGGGCTATATTAGTGAACAAGATGATTGAAGCCCCTCTCCTCATAGCACCCAGAAACTAAAGGAAGAGATAAGTAAAAGATATAATTTCAACTAGTTATAAGTGCAATAAAGAAAAGTAAGATGGGATAAAAGGATAGAGGGATGGGGGGGTGCTAGGTTCCACAAAGTAGTCAGGGGAGGCTTCTCTGAGGAGGCAACATCTCAGTGAAGGGGTGAAGGAATCCTGTGTAGAGTTGGAGGGAGACAATTCCTGGAGGAGGAAATGGCAGGAGCAAAGACCCTGAGGCAGGAATGAGGCTGGCCTGTTGTGGGACCAACAGAAAGGCTTGTGGCCAGAGAGAAAAGAGAAGAATGAAAGATGTGGTTGGAGAAGCAGGCATGGGCCAGACCACAGCAGGCCTTGTCGGCCATGGTGAGGAATGTGGATCTTAAGTGTGATGGGAAAGTCATGGGAAGAAGTTGAGCAGGGTAGTGAAATGATCAGACATAGATGCTAAAAAGATCATTCTGACTACCGTGTGCCATGGCAGTGGGGTACTGGCTGTTACCCATGGAATGTCTCTCTCAGCAGTTAAGGGGACAGTTGGTCCTAGGGAGTGGGGGTGGGGGAATATCAGCAGAGAAGAAAGCGGACAGGGTATGTGTGGCCCTGTGTGCCAGGCCCACGTGCCTTAGCTTCCCAGATCCAAAGTGGGCACTGTCAGCAGCTTGTAGCTCTCAGGCCCAGGTGAAGCCACTCACCCTGTGGACAGCACGCTCACCCCCAAGGGCCACACCAGCAAGAGTGTTTCTCCTCTTCTGGCACCCCAAAGGCCAGGAAAGGTCCTGATAACTTAAGAAGTTTCCCTAACCTGGGTTAGAGGAAGGAGGCACAGGCCCTGGGGAGTTCCCACTGTGAGTCTCAGTTAACCCACAAAGCACAGCTAATGCCTCTTCCTGCAGCGACTCCCACTACCCACTGCTGGAGATTAGAACCCCGTGTTGCTCTCTGAAACTTGGTGTGACCAAGTTTCCAAGTGGGAAATACAAGTGACAGAGGAACCTGTTAAATGACACCATGGGATGCAATCAGCAAGTTCTAAGACAATTCCAAAACTCTAAAGGACAAAGGACATGATTTTTTCAACAAACAAATTGCAAGGAAGGAAGGAAGAGGAACCCAAGCATTAAGAGATATAACAACCAAATGCAATGTGGGTGGCCTTATCTACATTATAATCAAAACAATTATTTAAAAATTAGTCCCAGGGCACCTGGGTGGCTCAGATGGTTGAGCATCTGCCTTTAGCTCAGGTCATGATCCCAGGGTCCTGGGATCGAGCCCCACATCTGGGGTCCTGGCTCAGTGGGGAGCCTGCTTCTCCCTCTCCCTCTCCCTCTCCATCTCTCCCTGCTCATGCTTTCTCTCTCTCTCTGTATCTCTGTGTCTCAAATGAATAAATAAAATCTTTAAAAAAATTAATAAAATAAAAAAATAAAAATTAGGCAATCAGGGAAATTTGAACATAATAGATAATTTATGATATTAAGGAAGTATTGTGACTCTCTTAGGTGCCATAATGGTTTGGTAGTTGTCTTTTAAAAAGAGCCGTTATCTTTTAGAGATGCAAACTTAAATATGGATGGAATAAATGTTTGATTTGCCTTAAAATATTCTGTAGAAGGTATAAATGAGTAAGGTATAAATGAAACAAGATGGGCCATCCACAATTGTTGAAGCTGGATGACTGGTACATAGGGGTTCAATATACTCTTCTACTTTTTCATGTTTGAAATTACCCTAATAAGTTAAAAGAGATTTTTTTTTAAAGCTTCTCAGGTGCAGCCTGATGTTCATCAGCCAGATTTGGAATCAGTGAGGACGCGGGGTGAAGGGGGGTTGGCTTCATAGCATAAATTAGCAGGTGGGAGCCACGGCAGCCAGGCAGAGGAGGGCAGCCCTCCTGCATGAACACAGGAAGCATGGAGGGTTCTGAGGCAGGGTATGCTGTGTACAGCATGTTGTTGCTGGTCTGACAGGCCTCAGAGATAAGCAGGCTAGGTTGAGCAAAGGGACAGCAAGTCTGAACTTGAGGCTAACTGAAAAAAATCCCATATGCCACATCATAGATGTTTGTTTGGTCAGAGCCAGTTCCCAGCACTTGGTGTGCACACAGCCCACTCTTCCAGATGCTTCTGTCAGTAGATGTGGTAGATAACTGCTGGAAACTTGTCCAGCCCTTCACAGCATACCCCCGCACGGGGCCAGCTCCAGGGGGTGATCAGTGGGGAACGCCTAAACAAACAGAGGATGTAAGGGACTCGAAGCCTCTCCTGGTGAGAAAAGCAGCAGCTGAAAGTCAAGAAGTCCATGGAACCCCAATCTCACTTGGCCCCGAGGGCATGTGCAGCTGCTGGCCTCCCTACCCTTTCTTCCCCTTCAGCCAGGCTCATGGAGGGTTCCGTCCTCGGGCCAGGAGGCTATTCTCTCTGCCATCACTGGTTTCCCCAAATGGCTGCCTTATGTCCCATGAAGCCACACTGAAGACAGGGCCAGGCCAGTCCAACTTTGGTGAGCCTGGCAGTGGTGAACAGGAAGTGGGTGGCATGTGCAGAAGCAGACAGGACAGACCTTACCAAATGGCTGGTAGTCATTCTCCAAAGTTCTCTCCCCACATGGGCCTGGAGCACCCACAGAGAGCGAGCCCAGAGAGATAAAAACTCTTGAGTAGCTCTGGCCTGGGGTCCCAGAGAGCCCTGGACATCAGGAAGCTAAGTACATTCCTCCACCACAAACTCAGTCCCATTGTCCTCACAAGTTGCCCCCAAATTTATGAATTCCCTCTGCCCAGTGTTCAGGGAGGCCTCCAGACAGAGGGGTACAGAGACCAAGAAAGGGCATCTGTTAGCTGGGGCAACTGCTTCATACCCGCAGTGGTCCGCGATGGAGAACAGAATCAGAAAGCTCAAAGCTGAAAAAATCTAGGAGTAAGGGAATTTTGGTTTCAAATTCCAGCTCCACCTGTCAGTTTCACCAAGATGAACCTCAATTTTCTCACCTAGAAAATGAGGTTGGTAAAAACCTACCTTGTGGGCTATCATTAAGATCAATCGGACTACGATGCATGAGACTGGTAGCACAGCTCTGGACACACAGTAGCTTTGGCTGCTCTGGCACGTTGTCCCTGTTGTCACATGCCCTTGCTCCATGAAGGAAGGAAAGGCAGCAGTCTGCTGAGCTCCAAGTCGACTCGCTCTTCAAGGAATGTTGGTTGAGCCTTTGCTGTGCTCAGGTCTGGCACTAGAGGCCAGAATATGGTGGTCATGGCCTCACTGAGTTCACTTGCCAACTTCGGCAGGGCCAGCGACTGCAGGCTGCTGTGAGGAGGATACGGACAAAGGCCAGGAGGAGGAGGACGGAAAGGTTCCAGCAAACCTGAACCTGAGCAATCGGAGAGGCTCATCCACGCTCCTGTTTTTAAAGAGAGTAAGTTACTGAAGAGGGTTTGGATTTGTCAGGTTCTCCATGATATGCCCCCTCTCCAGGCGACTGAATATCACAGTTCAGAAGGTGCCATCTGAATCTCAGGGACTCCCTATAGGATCTTCCTCAGTCGAACTCCTATAGCCCCTGCCCCTCCAGCCTCCCCCCAGCTGATGGCAAGACCTCAAGAACATGGGACGGCATGCAAACCAACCTCAGGACGGGAGTCCCAAGCCCTGTGGGCTTCACCCCTAAATGACCGAAATATCTGGTCCCAGGAAACAGCCCCGTCAGACACTTAAAGCCTGCCAGACACCACGGTGCCTTTGCTCTGGGGACCCTGTGTACTGGATCCTCCATACTGCCTGAAATCAGGCTGAGTCTGGCTGCAAGAGACCCAAGATGGACAGGAAGGCGGTCAAGGACGTGGAAGACAAAGGTGGGAATAGGGAGAAGGCCGGCTGGAAACGGGAGACAGAGAGGCACTCGTGCTTACCTAGCAAAGTGGATGGTGACTGCCTTTTGAAGGAAAATGTGCTACCTGTTGGCCACTTCTGGAAGGGTAGCCTTAGCTTTGTGATTAGAGGATGTGTGTCCGTGGTGGCCAGGCTGTCTTCTGGCCAGAGAGACTGTTGTGACTTGGGAATTAGGCTCTGTCATCGTGGCAGCAGAACCAGCGTAACACCCAGAAAGAAGTAGGGGCAGTATGAGTCTCCAGGTGCAAGCAGCCCTGAATGAGGACGAACATCACCCGGGCAATCCTGGATACTGAGGAAGCCCCTGCCTCTGCCCCACTCCTGTGTCCTGAGCATGTGAAGTGGCCTGTCACTCAGTCTGACAGCCTTCTTCCCTGCATATTCTTGTAATACACTGGAGATCAGTGGTGTTAGGTCAGCTCTGCCACGAAAGTAAGCTTGGACCCAGGAGAAGCCTGTTTCTACCACTGCATCCTCTGCAGGTCTTGATTTAGGTAAACACTACATAGGTGAGGAATTAGAAGAGAGGGTGCTTACTCACATACCCCTTTGCCTACACTGGCCCTGCCTCAGCAGCCCCATGAGTGGGAGGCTAAGGGAACAGCACGTACAAGGCCCCGTGGTAGTAGGCCGCAAAGCAAGAAGGCAACAACAGGGTTTATGCCATTTGCTGAGACTAGAGAGGCCAGCCAAATAAAAGAATTTGGTACATGAGTATGGTAATGGCTTTTTCCTAAAAGCAAAAATCCTCTCCAGATTTTTTTTGGTTAGTAAAAACAGGCACTAATGTAGGTCTTTTGTAAAAGCAAGGTGGCATGATGCAAACTTTCCAAAACCTGGGGTACTCATCGCTTTACGCCATTCTGACTTATGAAAGGCTTCATGGGGAAGTTCTGACTTCAGCTAGTGGGGAAACCTGTATCCTAAGAGCAACAGGAAGGAACAGAAGAACTTTAGGCAAGAGGATGATAGATTCTTCTCAAAGAGAGATAGGTCTGGCAGTTCATTTGGGGAATGGACTGGAAGTGGGGAGACCAGGAGGAGGTGAGAGATGAAAGTGACCGGTACTGGGGAAGAGTTAGTGGGAATGGAGAAGACACCCCTGGGAGATGTTTGGGGGTTGAACCAGAATGATCTGGAGATGCTGTTAAAAGGGAGAAGGGGGCAGAGGGGAGGAGACGTCACAGATGACATTCAGGTCAGCTCTGGAGCCAGACCCTGGGCTTCCCCCGTTTCCTCTTGTGTCCACTGCCAGCAAGCACCTGGATAATTTCTCATAGCCCCTCCTCCCAAATTGTCCAGGTCTGTCCACAGATACTGGAGTCTTCTGAAGGACAAGGAAGGGAGGGAGAGAGAGAGGGAGGGAGGGAGGGAGGGAGGGAGGAAGGACGGAAGGAAGGAAGGAAGGAAGGAAGGAAGGAAGGAAGGAAGGAAGGAAGGAAGGAAGGGGGAGGGAGGGGGGAGGGGAGGAAGGAAGGAATGGGACAAGGAGGCTTCACTAGTGTGTGTTTATTTCCCCCTGCACAGGACAGGGCAGAGAGATGGCCTCGGGAGAGGTAAAAAGGAGAATAGTCCACTCACTCGGTTGGCTAAAACCTGCTTGCTACTTGAGTATGAGTGTTTACATGTCCCTGCGTGTATAAGGGTCTAGGTCTGTCTGTATTTCTGTGATTGGCTTTGTATGGTCACCTCAAGGCCATGACTAGCAATGCTAGTTAGTTTAAGGACTGAAGTTGAACATTACTGAGAATTATTCTGCCTGGCTGATCTTCTACAGAGATGGTGCCCACTTTCTCTGGTTCACCACTGCCTGCCTGTGCTGGGCTAGAGTTTCCTCCAAGTCTTGGGGTGTAAGACATCTGGCCCCTGGAGAAAAGCTAACAAACCTCAAAAAACTAAACTCTCGGGGCGCCTGGGTGGCTCAGTCGTTGGGCATCTGCCTTCGGCTCAGGTCATGATCCCAGGGTCCTGGGATCGAGCCCCACATCCGGCTCCCTGCTCGGCGGGAAGCCTGCTTCTCTCTCTCCCACTCCCCCTGCTTGTGTTCCCTGTCTCACTGTGTCTCTCTCTGTCAAATAAATAAATAAAATCTTTAAAAAAACAAAACTAAACTAAACTCTCCCTTCTTATTTCTCTGTCAGCAGCTGCTGTTTATCCTGGATTTCCTCCCTACCTCTTCAATTGTTTATACTCCCTACTTCCTGGGGGGCTATTAACAGTGGAATAGAGAAGTTGTTTATTCCCCAAACCAACATTTTTATCTTGGAGACCAGATAACCAAGAGTTTCTCCTCCGCTTCCCCACTTGCTGGCTTCATGAGTGGGTGTGGGGCTGCTGGGGGTAGGGGGAGAAAGGAGAGAGCCAGGTCTGAGTTTGGGTTCCCCAGCTACCCAGGGCAAGGACATACCCTAGGGGACGCACACTCTGCAGTGGGGCTGCCCAGACAACCCTCCAGTTGCAGTAGTCAGAGAACAGACCCACCCTGAGCACAGTGCCACTGGTTTGCCCTTCACCCCTGCCTGCCTGCACCGGGCACCAGCATATGCACAATCACTCAAATACACCCAAGCTGGCAGTTTTTTGCTCATTTCCTTTCTAGGGTGGTTTCTAAGGTCTCCAGTCTTCAGACTTGGTCACTACCCCTGCACTGGTCACTCCTGCCACCTGGAAAAGGTCCCAAAGGTCAAGCAGCTCCAAAGGGTGCCAAGGTTCACAGTAGGACCTTGAGAGGCTGGGGAGGAAGGAGTTTGAGCAGAGACCATGAAGCATCTCAGTGGCAGAGCTTCTGGGAAAAGATGCATTCTGGGTGTGTGTGTGTGTGTGTGTGTGTGTGTGTGTGTGTGTGTAGGGAGGTGGTTCTTGGAGGAGTAAACTAGGGTGATGAGGGTGGGGCCTTCAGAGGAAGAACGCAACTCAGCCTAGAGATTTCTGGGAGAGCTAGAGCCACAGGAGCTAGAAGATAAGGCGGATGTAGCCTCAGAACCCAGATGCCAGGCCTTTTCCTTAGGAGCCACACTTCTGACTTCAATGAAGACAGAGCTTCCACACTTAGGTAGGTGGGATCCTGATCAACAGCTCAGCCAGCAGTTCTGGGAGGAATGTTGCTGGGATGGGGGGGAAAGGTACTCTGCTGCCCTAAAAATTACTTAATTTCCTTCCACTCAAACAGCTTACTGAGTTCCTGCTCTGTTCAGTAAGCCATCCCTGACCCTCCCCAGAAGGTTGCTCAGTTCACATCCCCAAAATCCCTCCTTTCAGACCCAGTGTAGCATCTGCTGAGGAGGGACCTCTTTCCTGAGACTGACGGGAAGACGGGGAGGGGCGCCCCTGACAGTTCCCAGTTCAGGCTTGAGTCCCCCAGGGGATGGACAAGTAGGCAAGGAAGTAAGGTAGGGGAGAGAGAGGTCAGGGGCAAAGGGCCTCTTCCTGAATGCAAAGTCCACCAGGTTAACCCCTCATTTCCAGAAACTCTCGGCTCCCGACCCCACCCTCGCTGTGGCTCAGCCCAGGAATCCGAAAGCTCAGAGTACTGTGGCCAGAGACATTTGCATGTAGCCCTCAGGGTGGCTGGTGCAGGATGCAGGCAAACTGGGGACGTGATGTGGTTGACAGAGGCCTCAGGGCCGCGGGCTACTCTCTGGGAGGAGCACCCCAAGCCTTCTCTCTTGCAGAGCAAGGTTAGAGGAAGCAGCAGAGCAACCTGGGTCAGTCCCTCGGAACACTGGGGATGAGGAGAGAGGCGACAGCAGAGAGAGCCCGCCCAGAGGGTGGTGTCCTGTAGGCTGGGGGCGGGGACGGGGACAGGGGCGGGGACGGGGGGCGGGAGGAGGCGGAGCGCGTGCCTAGGCGGAGAGCCCAGGTCCAGGGTCTTGCGAGTCCGTTCTCCCCTTGCCAGACCGCGCCGCCGCGTGGTCCGAGTCGACGCTCTAAACTTTATCGTCGCTCTGTGCCCCTCGCCATCCATCTCAGGCTCCAGACACCGGCCCCTGCCTGCCTGTCCTGCCCTGCGCAGCATGCAGCCCCTGGGCCTCGAGAGTACCCCCGCCATCCGCCGGCGACCGCTGCTGCGTCTCCTGCTCCTGCTGTCTCTGCTGCTGCCGCGGCCGATAACCCATGCCCAGACCACACAGGGAACCCCCAGCTCCCGGACCCCGCCGGCCACCCCCAGCTCCCGGACCCCGCCGGCCACCCCCAGCGCCCCAAGTCTGCGGGAGCGCGCGCGGGCCCTGATGCGGGACTTCCGTCTCGTGGACGGGTGCGTAGGTGCGGTGTGGGGGCGCGTGGAGACTGAGCCCACCCCAGAGCGGGGAAGGAGTTCTCAGCGTGCAGGGCTAGTGAGGAAGCTCCCTCATACCACTCCTGGATGCACTCTCCCATCATCCATGGGCGCCTTTTCCCTTCCTCTGTCATTGCGCCCCTGCTGGGAAGCCCCCAGCCTAGTGCTCAAGGGGTCCTAGTATAGTATGTGTGACAGTGTGGTGGGGGGGGGGGCATCCCCCCCACCAACGTTGGCTCATGTCCCGCTTGATCCCAAGGCTTAAGGAGCCCACCCATTTGCCCCTGACCGGATCTTGCCTTGCCCACCCTCCAGCCACAACGACATGCCCATTGTGCTGAGGCAGTTTTACCGCAACGGGCTACAGGATGTCAATCTGCGCAATTTCAGCCGTGGCCAGACCAGCCTGGACAGGCTTAGAGACGGTCTCGTGGGCGCCCAGGTACCACACTGACGCACAGCATGGTTGGGAGGGAGTGTGGGGGCCCCAGAGACCACAGGTTAATCACATGGGAACTCAGTTACCTTACAGCCCCCCAAAATGCTACAACATGGATGCTGGGGGCTGCAGGGGTCACAGCGAGCTAGTTTGGTGGGCATCCAAGTACTACAGAATAAGCAGTGCATTACAAGTGGCCATTTTTGCTGTGTGGGCTGTGAAGGGGAGAAGCCCATGGAGCTCCAAAGCAACCCCTGCCCAAGCCAACCCATGGACTTCCCCCAGTTCTGGTCAGCCTACGTCCCATGCCAGACCCAGGAACGGGATGCCCTGCGCCTCACCCTGGAGCAAATCGACCTCATCCGCCGCATGTGCGCCTCCTATTCTGAGTTGGAGCTTGTGACTTCAGTTAAAGGTAGGCAGACGGGTGGGGGTTGTTAGGGACTTGTTTGAATACTCCAGCCTCTGAAAGTGATCACCTGACCTACCTGCCCCCAGCTCTGAACAACACCCGGAAGCTGGCTTGCCTCATTGGTGTGGAGGGTGGCCACTCGCTGGACAGCAGCCTTTCCATCTTGCGTACCTTCTATGTGCTGGGTGTGCGCTACCTGACACTCACTCACACCTGCAACACGCCCTGGTGAGCATAGTGCAAATGGTATGCGGCCACTGACGCAGGCATCTGCCCAAGATCACACTGGGGCTCAGACCAAGCTTTACCCCTGGGATCTGGCACTGACCCTGGAGTGGGGAGGAGGGCAGGGGTTCCCAGAGCAAGACTGGATTCCCAGTAGGGACTGCCTCGTGCCAGGCACAGCCCAACTTGGGTCTCTGCTCTTGCTCCAGGGGGTTGCTGGTATAGAGGATTCAATAGGCTCTTGTAGCCAAGTCATGGCCACCATTCAGACTGCCTCCTGGTCATCCTGCAGGGCAGAGAGCTCAGCTAAAGGCATCCATTCCTTCCACAACAATGTCAGTGGGCTGACCAGCTTCGGTGAGGTGAGGACCCTAGTTCCCTACCCTGTCCCCCATGAATGTGCATGTCCCACCAGTTCCCTACAGAAAAATGCATGGGCATGTGCACCCCTGATGCCCTTTCCCCAACCTGTCCCTGCAGAAGGTGGTGGTGGAAATGAACCGCTTGGGCATGATGGTAGATTTGTCGCATGTCTCAGACGCTGTGGCTCGGCGAGCCTTGGAAGTGTCACAGGCACCTGTGATCTTTTCCCACTCAGCTGCCCGAGGTGTATGCAAGAATGCCAGGAACGTTCCTGATGATATCCTGCAGCTTCTGGTGAGAGACTGCCCTGGCCCTCAAACCTCAAGCTAGAGGCTTAAACCAGGAGCCCTTGAGCCTGAGCCCCTGTTCCCTCATCTTCCTCAAACCCTACACTGAACATCTGCCCCACAAACCCACAGTCCACAGCCCCTGAATTCTTGAACTCAGGTGTGGGGGTTCTAAGTGGCAAATGCTCCAAGACATTTCCATCCCAACAAGAGCTGAGACACCTCCATTCACACAAACCTAGAGGTGAAGTCTCCTCTGAACTCAAAGCCAGAGATGAACATCTTCCTCACAGGAGCCTAGAGGCAGGTAGTTGTGCTGGGGTCGAAGCTGAATGTCCATTTGTCCGCCCCTGCAGAAGAAGAATGGAGGCATCGTGATGGTGTCTTTGTCAGCGGGGGTGCTGCCGTGCAACCTGTTAGCCAACGTGTCCACTGTGGCAGGTAAGCCCTGCCTGGGCTCTCTGAATAACTCTGATTTGGACCTGAAGCCTTGGGTGGAGGGCCTCAGTACAGCCCCAGTGGTCTGACCCATTCTCGGCTGTAGACAGCTCCTAAAAACTCAGTGATGGATGGTATAAAGCACCTTGGTGCCATGTGGAACTGAAGACACAGAGTTGGTAACTACGATACTCATGGGCATAAGGGAGGCAGTCAGACATAGAGCCCAGGTGCCAACCATCTGTGCCTCTGCAGGGGCTCCCAGAGCTCCCTACCCCTGCCTCTGACCAAGACCTGGGCAACCCCTTAAGTCTCTGTGGTCTTTGTCAGTTGTATTCTTTGTCTCTTGCTCATCCTCCACACCCATGGAAAGGAGACCCCATGGTTCTCAAGGAGACTGGAGGCAGGGTGATCCTGGATGAGAAATGGCCCAAATGGGTTCCACTCCAAATCTAAATTCCAGTCTAGAGTCAACTGGGATCAGCTTCCTCAAGTTGGTACACTGGGTGCCAGGAACTGGCCTGTGTGGCCTACGGGCTGCAAGAAGGGGAATCAGTAGAGTGCAGTCCCCAACCCCCCTGCCCTGGAAGTCCCACACTGCTGACTCTCTATCCCCCAGATCACTTTGACTACATCAGGGCAGTCATTGGATCCAAGTTCATTGGGATTGGCGGAGACTATGATGGGGCCAGACGGTAAGCGCTTCTCTACAGCTTGTCTGGGGCTGGCTGTGCCACAGTAGGGCCTTGACAGTCCCTATGCCCACGACACCGTGGTCCTCATAGCCTTTAGGCCCACCTCGTATCTCTCCACACCCAGAGTCTGTTTCCTGGGCCCTTCTGTTTGTCTGTGACCCCTTGGCCCCACTCTAGGTCATCATCATCATCATCTGCCCAGCAGATGCACCCACCCTTAGTGCCAGTAGACCTATTGCTTCTTTTTTTAAGTTTTATTTATTTAACTAATCTTTACACCCAGTATGGGGCTTCAACTCACAATACCGAGATCAAGAGTCACATGCTCTTCCGACCAAGCCAGCCAGGGTGCCCCTGACCCACTGCTTCCGAGCAGACTCTTAAGCAAGGTCTGGTGTGAACTGACCCTTTCCTCTGCCTGCAGCTGGGTCTGTGCCTACAGGAGGTCAACCCAGTTCTTAAAAAGCTTTTCTTCTTTTTATAAATGGAGGGAAACTTTGTATTCAGTGAAAGGCATAGATCTTTTTGTGTTTTTTTTAAATAGGCTCCATGCCCAGTGTGGAGCCCAAAATGGGGCTTGAACTCATGACCCTGAGATGGAGACCTGAGCTGATATCAAGAGTGGGATGCTTAACTGACTGAGCCACTGAGGTGTCCCAGCATAGATCTTAACAGTACAATTCAATGAGTTTTTATGAATATCCAAAGTGGTTAAGAGCTTCCTTTTGCAGGATAAAGAGCAGGTGTGAATCACTTACCCTCTCCAAGTCTCCCTTTCCCATATCTGACCAGAGCTGGGGTTCAGGAGACCTGGATACATGGGGCTGTGGTTCTGAGTCATGAACAGGGAACAGGGCTGAGTTTCCACAGCTGGCTGGCTCGCGGCCACACAGGTTCCCTCAGGGGCTGGAGGACGTGTCCACGTACCCGGTTCTGATAGAGGAGTTGCTGAGTCGTGGCTGGAGTGAGGAAGAGCTCCAGGGTGTCCTTCGCGGAAACCTGCTGCGGGTCTTCGGACAGGTGGAACAGGTATGCTGGCCTGGGCAAAAGAGTAGCACATGGGCCTGAGCAAGTGTGTTGGAGTTGCTCTGGGAGCTGCTGACCCCTGACTGCTACTTCCAGGTACGGGAGGCAAGTAAGGGGCAAAGCCCCCTGGAGGATGAGTTCCCGGATGAGCAGCTGGGCAGTTCTTGCCGCTCTGTTCTCTCACGTCTGCATCAGACACAGTACCTGGCTCCAGACCAGAAACTAACTTCAGCGCATTGGACACCTAAGTGGTCACTTAAACAATCATTGTCAAAATCTCCCCCCAACATGGCTCCAGGCCTCACAGTTATTGCTGCCTGTTTAGTCCTCATTCTGTGGTTCTGGTGACCCAGTTCATCCTACCAGATGTTACTGTGGCAGCCACAGACACCCCACAATGTTCCCCCATCATGCAGGCACAAATATTTCCTGAAAATAAATGTTTTACACATGGAACCAGGCATGAGTGTCCTTCTCTGTGGCAGGGTCTGGTGGCACAGGCTCCCAACTCTGGTGCTTGGTGGGGGGCCCTGCAGTTCAGCCACCAGTTACTCAAGTAAGACCTGAGTCTCACTAGCAGGAGCGGAGAAGACCCTGATGGTTGGGCTCAGCACTGGAAGAAGACAGTGGATTGGGGCGCCTGGGTGGCTCAGTCATTAAGCATCTGCATTCGGCTCAGGTCATGATCCCAGGGTCCTGGGATCGAGCCCCGCATCGGGCTCCCTGCTCAGCGGGTAGCCTGCTTCTCCCTCTCCCACTCCCCTGCTTGTGTTCCCTCTCTCGCTCTGTCTCTGTCAAATAAATAAAATCTTAAAAAAAAAAAAAAAAAGACGACGACGACGACACTGGGTAGCTCCAGCTGTGGGAGAGTGGATCTTCTTCTGGGTTGCCTCTCAATAGCTCACCTCGGTCCACATCCTGACTCACTGACCACCACCTGGGGATCCTGAAGGGAACTCTGGTTCAGATTCCCAAGAAGGGAACCTGCCTGGATCACAAATGATCTTTGTTCCTATTTGGACAGAGCCCAGAATGCCAGGCTACATGATGAGCCATGGGCCTCCAATGACTGAACTTCCCTGGATGTGGACCCACCCCCTCCCCTGCCTCGCAGGGACTTCCTCTCTGAGAGGCACAAGCTACTTAGAAACTCATACTGTCTTATCCCCAGGCCAGTAATGGTAATAGCAACTGCCTTAATAATAGCCAAAATTAAGAGTTAATGCTAATAATGACAGCAAATAATAATAAATAACATATGATAATACATAATGGCTAATAAAAATAACAGTTAATACTAATGGTCTGTGCATACCCCGTGACTGAGTAATTTCACCCCAGGTATATATCCAACAGGAATGCATACACAGGCTTTCCAAAAGGCACATGAAATATTTAAAGCAGCACTCTTCATAATAACCCCAAACTGTGTAGTTCAAAGACTGGGTGGCTCAGTCAGTTGAGCGTCTGACTCTTGATTTTGTCTCAGGTCATGATCTCGGGGTCGTGAGATAGAGCTGGGGGTCAGGCTCAGCACTGGATGTGGAGCCTGCTTGAGGCCTGCTTGACATTCTCTCTCCCTCTCCCTCTGTGCCCACCCCCCACTCGCATGCACATGCTTCTCTCTCTAAAAAAAAAATTAAATTAAATTAAAATCACATTAATTTGAGGAACAACTGACAACTGAATTTTATTGGAAACAATGGAAATCTATACACACTGGAATATATTTAGTCTGATGAATGAAAGTAACTACCAGTGTTCCATTCTGTGCACAGTGAAAATATTCTTCAAAAATGAAGTAAAAGTAATACATTTTCAGGCCAACACAAGCAGACTGAGAAAGTGAAAATATACAAATCACCTAATGAAAATACCAATTATTATGGGAAAAGTGCATATCAAATAGAAATTAAGGATATCATAGATGCCTGAATTTCACATTTGAAGTGAAGGTATGAAAATTTAAACAGGGTGCCTGGGTGGCTCAGCTGGTTAAGTGACTGCCTTCGGCTCAGGTCATGATCCTGGAGTCCCGGGATCGAGTCCCGCATTGGGCTCCCTGCTCAGTGGGGAGTCTGCTTCTCCCTCTGACCCTCCCCCCTCTCATGCTCTCTCTATCTCATTCTCTCAAATAAATAAATAAAATCTTTAAAAAAAAAAAGAAAATTCAAACAAAGTGTCTTCAGATTTTGAATTCTTAATTGGAGAAAAGTTATGTTCTGTGAATACATATGATTTGTCAAAAACAGCCATGGACTTGACTCTTACATATTCTGAAATTTTAAGTCCTGTAGAAATTCCAACTAAAATAGTTTTAAGGGGTGCCTGGGTGGCTCAGTCGTTAGGCGTCTGCCTTCGGCTCAGGTCATGATCCCAGGGTCCTGGGATCGAGTCCCGCATCGGGCTCCCTGCTCAGTGCAGAGACTGATTCTCCTCCCTCTGCCATTCCCTCTGCTTGTGCTCTTCTATCTCTCTGTCAAATAAATAAATAAAATCTTTAAAAAAAAATTGATTAACGATTTTTGCTTAGTGGAATTTTATGCAAATTTGGACATGGCCTTGAAAAAAATTTTAACTATACCAGTCACGATGGCATCCTATAAAAGGAGTTTCATAAGCTGCAGTTACTTAAAAATTATTTAAGATTCTCATTTGGTAAAGAGAAATTGACAAACATTCAATCTCTCATAAAAAATGAGCTAAGCAAAGAAGTAGATTTTGAAAATATTATTTATGAGATGTTCATTGTCACTTACTATCAGCGAAATGCAAATGAAAACCACAATGAGATATCGCCTCACATCTGTCAGAATGGCTAAAACCAACAACACAAGAAACAACACATGTTGGCAAGGATGTGGAGAAAAAGGAACACTTGTATACTGTTGGTAGGAATGCAAGCTTGTACAGCCACTTTGGAAAATAGAATGGAGTTCCTCAAAAAGTTAAAAATAGAACTATCATACAGAGCCAGCAACGGCACTACTGGGTTATTTACCCAAAGAATACAAAAACACTTAATTCAAAGGGATACATACACCCCCATGTTTATAGCAGCATTATTTACAAAAGAGCCAAATTATGGAAGCAGGCCAAGTGTCCATCGAGTGATGAATGGATAAAGAAGACGAGATATATATACATACAATAGAATATTATTCAGCTATAAAAAAAGAATGAAATCTTGCCATTTGCAATGACATGGCTGGAGCTAGAGAGCATAATGCTAAGCAAAATAGTCAGAGAAAGACAAATACCATAAGATTTCACCTGTGTGGAATTTAAGAAACAAAACAAAGGGAAAAAAGAGAGAGACAAATCAAGAAAGAGACTCTTAACAGCAGAAAAACTGATGGTTATCAGAGCGGAGGTGGATCAAGGGATGGGGGAAATAGGTGATGGGGATTAAGGAGTGCACTTGTGATAAGCACCGGGTGATGTATGGAATTGCTGAAACTAATATAATATTGTGCACTTGAGACTTATAATACTATATTTTAACTAACTAGAATTAAAATGAAAACTTAAAAAGCCAAAAAAAGAAAAAAGAAAGAAAATTTTATTCATGAGTTTGCCTCCATTAAAGCCAGTTAAGTGAAATTATAATAAATTCTGGTTTGGGTATGAGTAAAATAATGTTGTGAGTTAGTACACCTACTTTTCAGTTTTTAAATATTTTTCAACTATTTTAGTGTTCTAGAAAAGTTCATCATTAAAAATACATTAAAAATGTATATAGGAACACACACACATTTTCCTTTTGTCTCAGACTCCAAATTGGCTGTGCTCTGCAGTGTATTACTCAGAAAGTTCTAATAGTGCTTTCTGTTCACTTTACCTGCTCTCTCCTTTCTTGACTCCTTTGGGTGGATTGTGTAGCACTCTGAGGTGACCTTAATCCCTTTACAGATCCTTCCAAGAGGAGCTGATCCAGCTCAGGGTCCATTTAGGAAAAAATGGGAAGAGGTGGTAGAAGATAGAAGCTTATGGGAGGGCCCGGTGTTGCTATTGGCAGAATGCCAGGAAGCCAGCTAGGGGTCTAGGAAATATGGTTTTAAGAGTTTGAGCCCCAGCTTCACAGAGCAGAGAATAGAAGACTGCATCTGGAGTTGAGAAATAATTGCTTAATAACCAGAGTTGCTGCAGGCCTGGGGTAGGTTCACTTGTTCTTTCTCCTAGGTGCATTCTTTTTTGTGTTCTAACTCAAAACAAAGTGTTCATCAGGGTCCTCCTTACTTTGGTGGACCCTGGACGCTAATCTCTGTCTCTTTAGACCACAATACCCCTTGTGGAAGAGACAGCCCAAAAGTTGGGCTCATCTCTGGGTTTCCACCCTGGCGGGATCCTCGTAAGTAATTTTTTAATATCTTGTTTACCTCTCTGCTGTCTTTCAGGAAGATCCTTTTCATATTTTGCCCAACTTTTCCAGTCGTTATCAGGAAGAATGTAACTCTGATTTACTTAGTAAACCAAAACCAGACATTTGAAATGGTGTTTATGTATTACTTTGATGACATTAAAAATTAATTATAAACATCATGCCCTCTCCTTTCACCTAAGACTATTATAAGAAATAGCTGTATGTACAATACTTCAGAACTTTTAAAAATATGTTTATTTGTTTATGAGAGAGCTAGAGAGCAGAGTGGGAGGGACAGAGGAAGAGGGAGAGAGAATCTCAAGCAGACTCCTCACTGAGTGTGGAGCCCGACGTGGGGCTCAGTCTCACAACCCTGAGATCATGACCTGAGCTGAAACCAAGAGTCAGACGCTTAACCGACTGAGCCACCCAGGTGCCCCAGTACTTCTGAACTTTTGATAAACTATTAGCAAATTCATCATTCATTATGTCATTTATGTCACTTAAATGAAAACCTCCCATAGCAAGACAGCTCAGTATATGAGAGACCAGAACAAACAATTTGTCTCTCTGTCTCTGTCTCACTCCTGAGAGAGAGACAAAGCTGGAGGCAGCAGGGTCAGACTTAGTCCTTAACCCCTCGGCATGAGTAGGG